GCCTCGCAGTGTCCTGGTAACTTGCTCTTCCCTCTGCTTCTTTCTGAGATAGTGCATCAGTGATGGGCTGACACGTCCTGAGGTTGTGTGTGTGAGTGAGTGCGCATGGGAATGTGTGTGAGTGTACATGGTAGTGTGTGTTTGCATTTTAATGTACATGTGAGTGTGTATGTGAGTGTGCATGTGTAAGCACGTGCTTGCACTTTAGTGTACATGTGAGTGCATGTATGTGGGTGTGCTTATGAGTGTGCCTATGCATGTGTGTGCAAGTGTGTGTGTGAGTGTGCATGTGCATGTATGTAAGTGTGCATGTGAACATGTGAGTGTGAGAGGGTGGGGCCTGCTGGTTCTGACTGGGGACCAACATTGGTCTGGCTTAGCCTGGGCATTCTACTAGTGTCTGTTTCTGAAGTGATATCACATGCCGGCCGTCCAGAAAGGTCAAGATGGAAGCAACAGTTGCTTATTAAAGAGAGTTTAATAATCATGAAGCGGCTGAGAGGGAGGATGGGGGATATTCCTAAATCTGCTTCCCTGAGAACTCAGAGCTGGAGTTTTAAGGGTAACTTGGCAAGCAGGGGCTGGGAATGGGCATACTGCTTGGGGAATTGATCACTGCAGTGTCGAGATTATCTTTGTGCACCGAGTCCATTTCTAGGTGGGGTCTGGAGCTACTGGTCCAGGTGGTGTCAGATGGTCCACCAGAAAGCAGTCTGAAAATCATCCCTGACACCAGCCTTGGGTTTGTGTTGTCTTTCGGAGCAACTTGGGGAGTTACAGATCTGGTGAGCTGTGGACACGGGAGGGAGATTCCCTGGTGACCAAAGCTGCGTATGCCTTGGGGGGATTAAACTTCAGCCACTATCAAGGAGGTGGCATGCCCCAGAGCCCTCTGCTCTTCAAGAGATGAGCAAGCTTGTGAATCCTGCAGGCAACCCTGGGGCGTGGATGTGCGTGAAGGAGAGAAGGCCAAAGAAATCATTCAAGCCCTGCCACAACTCAGCCTTGTTGCCTTTGTTAATTTTATGCCTGTGGTTTCGGTGTGCAGTTGCGTGTGGTCCTGTAACCGTAACAGGCCCCTTTCCCCTCACACAGTGAGTTGATGCATTACAACACTGGGAAGCAGCAGAGAAAGAGCCCCAGGGTACTTTTCTGGGAGAAAAGACAAAGGAGATGGAGTGCTTGTGAGCTTTGGTGGAGGTAGCAAGGAGCTTGTTTGGAATCCAGCAGGTGCTGTCTGATGGGGAGCATGGACTCATTTTGGATCCAGTGGGTACTGTCTGATGGGGCACATGGGCTTATCTGGGATCCTATGGGTACTGTCTGATGGGGCACAATGACTCATTTGGGATCCCATGGGTGCTGTTTGACAGGGAGCGTGGGCTAGTTTGGGATCCAGTGGGTGCTGTCTGACAGGGTGCATGGGTTTGGGGGGATCCTGTGGGTGCTGTCTGACAGGCATGTGGGCTCGTTTGGGATTCAGTGGATGCTGTCTAACAGGGACCATGGAGTTCATCTGGGATCCGGTGGGTGCTGTCTGATGGGCATGTGAACTTGTTTGGGATCCAGTGGGTGCTGGCTGATAGGTATGTGGGCTCATCTGGGATGTGGTGGGACCTGTCTGATTGAGGGCATAGGGCACCTTTTGGATCTGGTGGGTGCTATCTATCAGCATATGGACTCATATGGAAACTGGTGGATACTGTCTAACAGGGAGTGTGGGGCCCACATGGGATCAGGTAGGTGTGTCTGATGGGTACTTGGGCTTGTTGGGGATTCTGTGGGTGCTGTCTGATAGGCACTTGGGGCTCCTTGGGGCTCCAGTAGGTTCTGTCTGATAGAGAGCATGGGACTCATTCAGAATCCTGTGGGTGCTGTCTGACGAGGCATGAGGGTATATTTGGGGTCCAGTGAGTGCTGTCTGATGAGGAGCATGGAACTCACTTGGAATCTGGTGGGTGCAATCTGATAGGCATCTGGGATCTAGTGGGTGCTGTCTGATGAGACATGTGGGCTCCTTTGGGATCTAGTGAGTGTTGTCTGACAGGGAGCACAGGGTTCATTTGGGATCCAGTGGTTGCTGTCTGACAGACACATGAGCTTGTTTGGGATCCGATAGGTGCTGTCTAATGGGCACACGGGATGCTGTCTCCTGGGAGGGGATCTGGCTGAAGTAGGTCTGGGAACTGCTGCAACATCCAGGGAGGAGGAAAGATGCATCATCCCTGCAGACGTTGGACTTTTTTGTGGTTTGGATCCTTCCTTTCACCATGTGACAACTATAACTTTGTCATGTCACCTTCGGGTTCCTGCACGGGACAGGTCAGAGGTCACAGAACACCCTCAAGGGCATTACTACTATTTTGATGCCCTGAGGTCCTGGAAGGCTCAGGCCTAAGGAAAGCCTCATGCACTAAGCTCATGTCAGTGAGGCCAGATGCATGATGCGTCTCCGTAAATGACTGTGAGTGAGTGACAGCAGCACACAGAGCAGGGCTCTTGTCTCTGGGATCAGCTGAATTCAACACCTGAAGATGTAGTGTGTTCCCTTGGCCCTCTCCATCAGGCTCTCTGGAGACGGGGTAGCCTTCAAGCATGCTTTGCCATGTCATGTGACCTCTGGGCATGCTCTGCTGTGTCATCGCATTGCTGGCTGTTAAGGTACTTTTAATTGACTTCTCAGGTAGCGGCTCCAGCCCAGCCATGGCAGACCTTGTTTTATTAAGCTGATCATGTGGGCATGGATGGTGGCCTGCTGCCACTGAAATGCCACCAGGCCCAAGATCACCCTTTCCCACTGACCTGTTGTTTGACAGAGTCTCGATTCTTTCCTCTCAGGTTTAAATAGGCCCATGGAAGATGACACTCATTCAGCACTCCACCCTCAGCTGTCCTTTCCTTATGTCCCTTTGTTTACGGTATTGAGTCCTCTGCCCAGAGGGTTGAGAGCTGGAGACAGCTGTCCCATCTGGGCTGTCTGGGGTTGCACTGGGCTGTCTCACAATGATGCAGTGGCCTGAGCAGTCACATAGGTGATCTGTCCTTTTTGGTAGAAATGGTAATGAAAATCCCAACCTCCAGGACTAGACGCTGATGAGATGATCAGCTTGGGGGCTTGGAAGAGACTGTCATATGGATTGCAAGGCTGGGCTGGGGAGAGACAGGGAAGGAGCGCTTCTGTCTGGCCACGGGCTCCTCAGAGTAGGCAGGCCTGACTTTTCTCATATCCAGTGATCTCCTGGGCAGGCCTGTGTGTTCTGACCACTGTAGTGTAATAAAAACCTGCCAGTCACATTGTCCTCCCTGGCAGTCTATATCCATCTGATGGGCTAGTCTAGGGTGGACATCCCCATCCTGGCTGGGGCCTGCAGGAAGCAGGTGGCCCTATCCTGTCCTCTCACCAGTGCCCTGCCTACTCTGACTTTTCCAAGTGGGGACCATTGGCATGGGACTCTCGTGTGTGTTAAAGTTGCATCCTGGGGAGACCCTGTGTCCACTGAAGTGTTGTCATGGAGATGAGCCCCCTCCATCCCCTGGGCAATGGGCACCGGTGGGCTCCCAGTCTCTGTGTGCCATGGCTCCTGCCCCCTGAGCTGGTTTCCCCACAGCCCCAGACAGCCCAGCCATAAACAACCCAGCCTGGACAGTCCAGCCCTGAACAGCCCAGCCTGGACAGCCTAGTTGGATAGCTAGCCCTAGACAGCCCAACTCTAGACATCCCAGACCCAGACAACCCAGTCCTAGACAGTTCAGCCCTAGATAGTCCAGCGTGGACAGTTCAGCCCTAGAGAGCCCAGCCTAGCTAGTCTGGCTCTGGACAGCTCAGCATAGACAGCCCAACACTAGACAGCTAAGCCCTAGACAACCCAGCCTGGACAGCCCAGCCCTAGACAGCTCAATCTGGACAGCCCAGCCCTGGATAGCCCAGCCAGACAGCCTTGTCTGGATAGCGTAGCCCTGGACTAAACAGCCCAGCCCCGGACAGCCCAGCTTGGACAACCTAGCCATATTCAGCCTATCTTGGACAACCTAGCCTAGACAGACTAGTCCTAGGCAGTCCAACTTGGACAGTCCAGCTCTAGACAGCCCAACCTAGACAAGCCAGCCTGGACAGTCCACCCCAGATAGCCCAGCTTAGACAAGCCAACTTGGACAGCCTAGCCTGGACAGCCCAGCCCTAGACAGCTCAGCCCTAAATAGCTCATCCCTAGACAGACCAGCTCTAGACTAGACAGCCTAGCCCCGGATAGCCCAGCCGTAGACAGCCCAGTCCCAGACAAGCCCAGCCCCGACAGCCCAGCCTGGACAGCCCAGTCCCATACTGACCAGTCAGAATGGGGAATTTTCACACTGCCAAGTAAGTCACCTATTTGGTAATCTGCTTGTATTTTCTTTGTAGAAGTAAACAGACTTCCTTCCTCCCTTCTTCTGTCTTTCCCTCCATCCCTTCCTCCATCCTTCTTTCCTTCCCTCCTTCCTTTTCCTCCTTCCTTCCCTCCCTCCCTCTTTTTTCTCCCTCCTCCCCTTTCCTCCCTCCCTCCCTCCCTCTCCCTCCCTCCCTCTCGCTCCCTCCCTTCCTCTCACTCCCTCCCTCTCACTTCCTTCTTTTCATCCATCCTTCCCTCCCTTCTCAATCTCTCTCTCTCTTTCTCTCTCTTCCCTCAGGCCTCTGTCCTTTCTCCTGGCCACTGAAGGAGACTTCTCTTCTATACTTAAGCTCCTTGATGGTACCTCCTAGGCCACGACTCTGCCTTGTGTTCCCAGTGTGTCCCCTAAGGAACTCTTTTGTCTCCTCCTCCAAACCTTGGCACAGGAGATGCTCCTGCAGTCCTGGCTGGGGTTTATACACGTGCCCTCTACTTGTGACCCATGTGTGTTCACACCATTCTCAGCACCCCAAACATATACTGAAGCATGAGAGAAATAAGTAGACAGAAGGCAGAGTGGTAAGTTGAGAGATGACTAGAGAATGACGGAGAAGGTGTCCGCTGAATGTGACCATGGCTCCAGCCATCTCACTGAAGTGGCTGATCCAAGAGGAGATCCAGGAAATCAGTGAAAAGCATGACCAACGGAATGATCTGGAAAAGCTGTCTGTGTGTCATTAAGGGCTAAAGAGTAAGCTATTTTTGAAGGTAAAAGGCAGGCTGAATTATCTTTATTATACTTCATGGTCTAAAACAGTGTTTTGTTAGTAGCAGCAGCTCAACCAACTTTTGTTAAATAAAGGACAGATCACAACAAAATGGCATGCTGAAACTAAAACATTTTGGGAAAAGATTTCGTGACTGGACAAGAATGACTAGAAATGAGCAAACCCAGGAATTTGCATATAGGCGTTCTCTTCCCATTTTCTTGATGAACATTTTTTCCAACTGTTGAAATTGAGATATAAATCTCATACCATAACATTTACCATTTCAAAGTATACATTTTGGTGGTTTTTGGAATATTCACAAGACTGTAAAACCATCACCACTGTCTAATCCCAGAATGTTTTCATCACCCCAAGAAGAAGCCCAGTAGTGATAGATACGTGATGTCATATATTTGTCAGATCCTAAAATGTACAACACCAAGAGTGAACGGTAGTATAAACTATGGATGGTAGTTAATAATGATGTGTCAACATTTGTTCATCAGTTTTAGCAAATGTGCCACATGTATGCAAAATGTTAATTTTAGGGAAAACTGTGTATGAGACAGAGGGCATATGAGAGCTTCCTGGGATTTCTGCTCAATTTTCTTGTAAGCCCAAAATTACTCTAAAAAGAATGTCTACTAATTTAAAAAATTATAAAGAAACCCTTCACCTGTTAGCAGTCTCTCTCCTCTCCCTTACTCTCAGCCCCTGGCAACCACTTAAGAATGTTCTGTCTCTTACACAGAAGCTTTAAGCAGTTTGTTTTGGTAGTGACAGTTAAGATGGTGCTGAGAGTTCATACGTTAAAAATCACATCATTATAACCCCGATTCACCCTTCCTCTAAACATCAGGGAAGCATAAAATATGTTCTGAAAAATTGAAATGGCATAGCTATTCATAAAAATAAGAGATAAATAAAACAAAGACCTTGATAGTCTAAAAGTGTGACAAAAACATTTCTGCGATGCAAACCCTGAAGTCCAGCTCCGTGAACTCTGTGACAGGCAGGGGCAGCTGGAGGTTTGGCAATCATGGGGCAAAAACATGGAAAAGCATCCTAGGAATGTCTCAGGACCTGAGTAAGCTCAGCATCTCGACCTGGGTGCATGTGTGTGAGAATAGCAAGCGTGCGGTGGCCTATCTGTAGTGGCTGAGAAATCAGAGAAGGTTGCAGGGAAAGGTACCAGGTATAGAGGCTCAGTGATTACATCAGCAACACCTGGAACATCACCTTGATGGGGTAATTGATTTGCCAACGAAAGAGCTGTTCTGGTCTGGGATTCTTGAGGGTTCAGGTGGATAGGCAGAACCAGGGGAAAACCCTCTTTCTCTAAATGAGCCCGAAAACTGAACAATTGGAAATAAATTACTCTCAATGAAATGCAAATCACAGACTTTAATATGAATAGGAGTCAAAAGTACTTTTCATTATGCGTAATTTAAAAAGCACATTTGGGAACCTTATAAAGATAAATAAAGAAATTGCATCTATGAAAAGAACAAGAAATTATGAAACAAAAACCGGTTGTTATACATCAAGGACAGACATGAAAATAACTCTGCTAGAGACCATGAAAATAAAACATTCTGCCATTAAAGGAAAGAAAACACTCAATAGACTAGGTAAACTATAGATACAGTTGAATAGAAAATTAGTAAATTAGAAGAGAAATTATTAAATTCTAAAATAATAAATTCAATACAGTGGATAGAGAGATAAAGAAATGGAAAACATGAATGTAAATGTGATGTTACGGCATACGGACAGTAAATTAAAAGACTCAAACTTACTTCCGGTGGGAGTTACAGAGAGGATAGGGAACCTGGCAAAGAAGTAATATTTGGAGAGATTATGCCTGAAAATTCAAACAACTAGGAGTACCACAAATATCTAAAGGACAGATGAAAATGGAATATGGAGAGGACATCACTAAAACACTATAACAACAGCAATAGTAATAATTTTTAAAAACTTACTTCTCTGAGAAGATAAGTTTTTAGTAAGACTGATTTTTTAAAAATTTCAATGATTTTATTTTAAATTTGTGGGATACAATTCAGGATTAAGTATACAAATAATCATTGTGCAGGTGCCCTTGCTGATGAAGTGTGTCCCCCCCTTGCCCAGGCAGATATCGACTACTGTCAATCCTACCTCTCTGCCTTCCCCCACCCACAGCAGTTTCTGGCTACTGTCAATTCTTTTCCTATATTATTATGGTAGATGTCAGGGTCCACTTATGAGTGAGAACATGTGATACTCAGATCTTTGTTTCTGTGAAATAGCACTCAGTATTATAAACTTTAATTCCATACAAGTTGCTGCGAAGTTCATGATTCTTCTTTATGGCTGCATAATATTCCATTGTGTATATGTACCACATTTTTTTATCCAGTCCTTTTTTGATGGGCAGCACGGTTGGTTCCATGTTCTTGCTATTGTGAACAATGCTGCGATAAACATACATGTGCAAGTGTCTTTTTTATAGAGTGATTTGAGTTCTTCTGGGTATATTCTCAGTAGAGGGATTGCAGGGTCACATGGAAGGTTGATTTTTAGAGCTTTTAGGAATTACCACACCTATTTCCACAGAGACTGCAATAGTTTACACTCCCACCAACAGTGTAGAAGTGTTCCGTTTTTGCCACATCCTCTCCAGCATTTGAGTTATTGATGATGGCCATTCTGGTTGGAGTTAGGTGGTATCTCAGTGTAGTTTTAATTTGCATCTCCTTGATGACTAGTGAGGCTGAACATTTTTCATGTTTCTACTGGCTGCTTGTATGTCTTCGTTTGAGAAGTATCTATTCCTATCTTTAGCCCACTTTGTAATGGGCTGTTTGTTTTTTTTTTCTTTTCAGCACGGTTGAGTTCCTTATAGATCCTTGATGTTAGGCCTTTGTCAGACATGGAGTTGGCAAATATTTTTTCCCGGTCTGTGGGCTGTCTCCCTACTCTCTTGATGGTTTCTTAACAGGCATATAGACCAATGGAATAGAATTGAGATCCCAGAAGCAAAACCTCAATTTCTCAACCAACTCATCTTCGACAAAGCCTCTACTATCCACTACTGGGGAGAGGAGAACCTATTCAGTAAATGGTGCTGGGAAAACTGGCTGACCACATGCAGAAAATTGAAACAGGACCCCTACCTATCCCCATACACAAAAATTAACTCTAAATGGATCAGAGAACTAAATGTAAAACCTCAAACTATAAGACCCTTAGAAAATGCAGGAGACACCCTTTTGGAAGTTAGAACTGGCAACTAATTCCTGATCAAAACCCGAAGTGCCCATACCATAAGAGATAAGGTAGACAAATGGGACCTCACTAACTGACAAGCTTCTGCAAAGCCAAGAAACCATCAAAAGACGGATTTTTTTAAAGACATAAATATGATTAGACATGGAACAGATACAGCAACAAATATTGTAAAGAACATTATGAACAGCTGGGCTCGGTGGCTCAGCCTGTAATCCCGCGCCTTTGGGAGGCTGAGGTGAGTGGATTGCCTGAGCCTGCGGGTTCGAGACCCGCCTGGGCAGCGAGACCTCATCTCTACAATAAAAAAAAAAAAAAAAAGCCAGCCGGGCGTGGTAGCGCATGCCTGTAATTCCGGCTACTCGGAAGGCTGAGGCGGAAGGATCGCTGGAGCCCAGCAGGTCGAGGTTGCGGTAGCCAGAAGCGGCCACTGCACTCCAGTCTGGGCGACCGAGTGAGACTCCAACTCAAAAAAAAAAAATAAAAAAAAAGAACATTATGAACAATTTAATGCCAATAATTTGAAAACTTAGATGAAAAGGACAAATTAGAGGCAATTTAAAAAAATTTTTGGCCGTTTTCTGTTTCCTGATACTTATCTTCATATTTTAAAATACGTGCTTATAGAACTTTTCCTTGGGTTTTGAATTTTAAATATTTCTTGTTGAATTGTTGTGGTTGTTGAAGCTTTAACTCTACTTTCCTCCTGCTTCCCTTCTCCTTTTCTGTGTATAATTATATCACTAATTTTGGTTAAATTAGTCATTGCTATTGTGGCTTTGGAAATAGTGCTCACTGAAGAGCCAAATAGTATATTATGATTACTTTTCCAGGTAGGTTTATAGTTTTACCTGGAGTTAATAATTTCTCCCCCAACCATTTGTGTAGTTTTCTGTTTGCATATTCTTATTTTTCATTAGATATTTTATTATTTCTGTGCTACTCTTAACATAATTTTCAAGTGTTAAAGACATTATTTACTATGCTAGATATTTTATCAATGTCTTTTTCTTTCAGGAGGCTTCCCTTCTGGATCCTTCTATCTTGTCTTTTGGGCTGGTTGCCCGCTATGTCTTCTGCACAGCTGTCATTTGGAAATTTCCCTGGTTTGCGTTCTTGGGTTGAAACCCTGATTTTCTGAGCCTCATGTATTCCTGTTTCTTAATTAATCCCTTAATTTCCAAAAGCATGTGCTTAATAACTTCCATGGAAAGAGATTCTGAGAGATACATTTCTTAAACTGTTAAAAGATATTTATTTTGCCCTAATACTTGATTGATAGCTTGGTTGAATATAGAAATATAGGTTGAAAAATCAGTTTTCTCCAGAATTTAAAGGCACTACTCTACTTTCTTCAGGAACTCTCAGTGCTATCCTGATTCAAACCCTTTTATGTGACTTTATGATTTTCTGTCTGTGTCTGAAAGTTCTTGGATTCCCTTTTTATAGGTTCTATTCTAAAATTTCATGACAATGTGCCGCTGTGTGCATCTTTACTTGTTTCACATTTATTGTGTAATATTAAGATATAAATATAAAGAACAATTCATTCAGTATTTGTGTACTTTCACTCAGCCTGGGATATAAAAAGCTCAGTACAAAATGACTCATGCCACATGGCTGAGAGAGAGGATGGAAATAGGCAGGAAGCATTAAAAGGCGCATCTAGGAGAGGAGTTTATCATGTTCTTCCCAAAACTTTTTGCAGATTTAAAACATTTCAAAATAAATATTTTTTTCAAAGAAAAAAATTCATCCAATTGAAGCCCCTTGTGTCCCCTCCTTGAAATTTCACTTTAGAGGAATCGCTTCTCTTCTATTTAGCATTTCTTGTTCCATGGACTTCTTTATGTCTTTCTAACCATGTATCTTTAAAAAGACACAGCTTATATGCACATTTTTAAGTCTTACAGGAATAGTTGGCTGAGATATCTTTAAAAATATACATTGCTGGATTTGGTTTGACAATATTTTGGTAAAATATTTTTATCTACATTCATGAGCGAGCGGGGCTTGTGATTATTCTGTCTTGATCTGCCTCTGACCGGTGGGGCTGGCATCCGCAGCTCACAGTGCTATAGCTGTGCTGGCAAGTCCTTCTCTACCTACTCCCTGTCTATGCGAGGTGGGACACTACTGTCATCGAATACTTGGTAGAACTCATGAGCAAAACTGTCTGGGCCAAGAGGTTTTCTTTAATCTGTAGGTTTTTAAAAGGTAGGTTTAAATTTTTTTTAAATGATTTTGGTTTATTCTGGTTTTTTATTTCTCTTAGAGTCAATTTTGGCAGGCTGTGATTTTCTTGGAAAGTGCCTATTTCATCTCTTTTGAAAGTTACTGTCACAAATAAAATGTATTGGTATTGTTGATCTATTTTATCTTTGTTTTCTATTTTTGTTTATTTCAGTTTTTGTTTTCATAATTACATCTTTCCTAATATCCTCCTGTACTGGTGACCCCCAGGGCCACCTTCAGGTTTGATGTTTCACCAAGACAACTTATAGGACTCAGAATATGGTTGCACTGGTGACTATGATTTACTGTAGCAAAGCGATATAAGCAGTCAGCCAAGAGAAGAGGCTCCTGGGGAACAAAGCCCAAGGAACCCAGGCACAGGCTTCCATGAGTCTCTCCTGTGGAGTCACATGGGGCATGTTTAATTCTTCCAGCACAAGTTGTAACAACACAGATGAAATTGTTGCTTCTGGGGAAGTTCAGTGGACTCAGAACCTAGGTCACATAGGCCCCTCTGCCTAGCACTTACCCTAATTGCAGACTCCCAGAGGCAAGCAGGGGTTCAGCACATACCAATTGTTTGCACAGTCTGGGCACAGTGGGCTGTTCTCGTTGGAGAGTGATGGGAGCCTCCTCAGATCTGTGTCCTCATACGTGACTGAGGGCACGGACTTCATGTGGTCTTTCCCAGAGTACAGTCTCAGGCCTACTCTGTGAACTTCCGACGGGGAGAGTAATTGAGGGGCAGTGCATCTTCCACTGACATTTGCCTGATTCAAAGAACTTTGTCTAGTTCTGAGCACCTTCTAAATGAAACATGCCTGTGCATTTTACACAAGAATTCTTCACATCTTAATACAAATTATTTTAAGATGATTTTTAGAAAATTTCTGTTCTGCAGCTGTGGTCTGAGGGCTGTGTGCATTGTTGTCAAGTCCCCATTTTGTCTATCTTTGCTGGAATGTGGAGTGGCTTAGTGGGTCGGCTTGGGTCTAGAAGTCTTGATTATATGATCACCTTTGTTCTAGAGTCCTCACAAGAACCTTGCCAAACCATTTACAAATGTTTATCTGTACATCAATAGTGTAAAATTGACCCCTTTTGGTGCCAGTTCTATGGATTTCAACTCATGCTGAATGTGTATAACCTCCATAAGCCAGACGCAGTCCCACCCATCCTGCTGGAACTTCTTCTTGCTATCCCTTTAGAGACTCACCCTGCCACCCAGCCCCGGCAGCTGCTGATCTGTACCATCACCGTTTCAAGAATATTGTACAAAAGGAATCATGTGGTCTTCCCTTTCTGAGACTGTCTTCTCTATTTGCCATGATGCTTCTGAGAGGCGTTCAGTTGTTGGTTCATCAAGAATGTGTTCCTTCTTGCTAAGTGGTATCCCGTTGTTTGGATTACCACACATGTTTATTCACTCAGTCATTAAGGGATATTGGGACAGTTTTCAGCTTTTTCGTGAATAAAGCTCCTATGAGATAAATGATTTTGCCCCTAGTAAATCTCTTTTTCCCACTGAGACCCCACACCTTTGTCCAACAATGACTTACGTTACACAGCTACTAAAAATAAATCCTGGTTCTGTCTTTGCTCCCACGATGGCAGTCAGGTTCTCTTTCCATGGAACGCCATGTTGAGCCACATCTCTGGGAACACAGGGCCATGAGTGATCTGTTAAGGTTGCAGGGGAGGCAGGCAGTGGGCCAGTGACTTTGTAACCACAGGCACACTGTCCTGGCATGGAGAGCAGCAATCACAGGCCTAGCCAGTGCAGGGTGAAGACTCAGGAACATATGGAAAATGTCCTGTTGACTTAGTTTACCTGCACAGCTAGGGGTGTGCAGTGTTTTCTGTACTTGTGTGAAAAGGTGCACTGGAGTGAAGCTGTGGGTGGCTCTTCATAAGTTGTCTCAGGGGTCGGCTGGATGCAGAGTCACACCCGTTGGCCTTGACATACCACATATGCAATGCCAGTACAGGCCGTGGACATGCACCCTTTGTAGGCAAATGCTGTGTTATTGCTCTGCTGTGCACATAAGAAACTAAACCTGCTGTGTTTGTTTTTTCTTTCAGTACTACTTCACGGTTCTTTTTGGCCATGAAGGTCAGAAGCCGCTGGAGCTGCGCTGTGAGGAGGAGCAGGACGGCAGGGAGTGGATGGAAGCTATCCACCAGGCCAGGTATAGGGGGAAAAGGAGGGGGAGGGAAGGAGTGAGTGGAGGCCATCTCCCAGGACAGGTACAAGGGACAGAGGAGCAGGAGGGCAGGGAGAGGGTGGAGGCCATTCCCCAGGCCAGGTACAAGGGGAGGAAAAGGGGGAGGGAAGGTAGTGAGTGGAGGTCATCCACCAGGCCAGGTACACAGAGGCACAGGACCACAGGGAGTGCGTGGAGGTCATATACCAGGCCAGGTACAAGGAGAGGAGGAGGGGGAGGGAAGAAGTGAGTGGAGGCCATCTCGCAGGCCAGGTACGGGGGAGGGCAGGGAGGAGGTGGAAGCCATCCTAGCCAGGTTAGGTACAAGGGGTGGAGGAACAGAATACAGTGAGGGGGTGAAGGCCATCACCAGGCCAGGTACAAGGAGAGGAAAAGGAGGAGGGCAGGGAGGAGGTGGAAGCCATCCTAGCCAGACTACGTGTAGAGGAGCAGGAGAGCAGGGAGGAGGCTAAGGCCATCACCAGGCCAGGTACAAGAGGAGGAAAATGGGGAGGGCAGGGAGGAGGTGGAAGCCATCCTAGCCAGACTAGGTACAAGGGGCAGAGAAGCAGAGGGCAGGGAGGGGGCGAAGGCCATCACCAGGCCAGGTACAAGGGGAGGAAAAGGGGGAGGGCAGGGAGGAGGTGGAAGCCATCCTAGGCAGGCTAGGTATGAGGCCACAGTAGGGCCCTGCGCCATCTGTTGCTGTGGGTGGGCATTTCAGAGGAACTTGCAGTTCTGGGATGGGGTCTCCCCTGGCACCTCCTCCCTGGTCCTGTGAGGAATAAATTTTGGAGTTTTGGGGAGTTCTACCACTGCTGAGGATGAAGGTGATGAATACAGTGACAAGTAGTGGTGGTCATCATTTCTGTGACCTTCCTCCTGTGCTAGGCACTGTGTGCTTGGTGCTCCTCAGTTATGGAATTTATCAGATGCATGGACTCATCCTCTCAGCAATGTGTACAAAGGGGACCACTTGTCTACAGATGAGGAAACCAAGGCCTGGAAGACAGGTCTTCTGCGTGAGGTCTCACAGCTCACAGGCAGCAGGACTGGAGCCACCAAGTCCCACACTCAAACGCCCTACCCTGGGCAGCCCAGCATCAGAACAGTGGTGACAACCTCCATCTCTCTTGGGAAGTGCCAGGTGTGACCACTTCCTTCTGGAAATGCCCAGAAGGTGGAAAGGTGTGCCTGAGGTCTTGACTGGGAACAGGAAGTCTGCAAGGAATGCAAGGCCAACGTCTATCTCTGTTTCTCCCATTCAGTTCCTAAATCTTGCCCAGTCTCTCAGCTCGTGGCCCCAGGGTCCCTGCTTTCTGCCAGTCTGCTTGGGGGTCCAGGCTGCGGCCCCTCAATTCCCACTTATTGTCTTGCTTATCTCCCTTGTTCAGGGCAAGACTCCAGCACCATGCATCTTTCTCACTGCCTGACCGGCTTCTGCCTCCACTGGTCCTCTCTCACTACCCCTTCCTGGGGCTTCCTGAGCCACTCTCGATGGCCCTGCAAGTCGTGCAGCCCCTGTATTCTGTACTGCTTAGGAGATGCAGCAATTCAGGCTACCATCATTATCATCATCATTATAATTATTGTGCATTTCACATGTGAGGTTTCTGCTTCCTGAGCAGGACTATGCACTTTGAGAGAGAGCAGGGGGTGAAGGCCTTGGTTTCTCCCTGAAGGGCATTGCTAGTTTTGTGGCAGGGAATCAAGAAAGACTTTGCATTGGGCTATACTAGGAATGAAGCTCTTGTCCTGAGGGCTTCCGGGCTGTTCTCTTTTCTGACGTCCCCCTCCCCGCCCTTCAGGTGCTTATGTCACCATCTCCTCTGACAGGCCCTGTCGAAAGCTCCATCTTCATGCTTATCTTTCTGGTTTTTCTCAGGCCCCGCTAGGGCATACTAGCCCTGCTTTACAGATGAGAAAACTAAGATGTGTGGTGAGGAGGCTGACTGACCACGCGCCATCACAGGGTTGCTGGGCACAAAGGTGGATTCACACCTGGTCGTAACTCCAGAGCCCACTGCTATGTTCCCCGTGGTGCGTCCCTCTGATTTTCTCTTCATCTGCAGTCTTTTCTTGTTCTCTTTCTCGATTCAAAGTTGAAAGTTGATTAACGTGAGTTAGGGCCAAGAGTAGAAATGCCATTTGCAAAATATTTCCATCCCTTCTCAGCTCTGCATATGGCCAGGGCAACTGGCTGACATGGTGGTCCTGATACTTGGTCCACCCTCTGCTCTGCATACTCTGTGGAGGGTCTCTCTGAGATGCAGGACTGATACAGGTGATTTGCTGGAGGAGTCAGGGCTTCAAAGGGGAAGTCACCACGCGCTGGCAGGGTGAAGCCTCGGGGTCCCTCCCGACATAGCCTTCGTGGTTACTTCTCTTCCCTCCTCCCTTGGAGTTAAAATGAAGTATGTGATTAAAACAGGCTTTTGTGCCCATCCTTTTCATTCCAGAACAGTGAGTTTCTGGGAGCCTGTGTGGCAACCAAGCAGATATTTTGGTGGACCAAACACAGACAGTGTGGGTCACCTTACAGGTGGCTAGGTTTCAAGTAGGAGACCTTGTTTCTATTCCACGAAAACATGCTTTCGTATGTACTGAGGTGGGTCAGTCATCATCGCTAGTATCTGACACCCAATCAAAACCAGGGCACGCGTCATCTTGTCAGGAGACAGATGAGAAGTCACGTTTGACAGAATTATGAAAATTCTCTTCTCTTCAGGTTTGACAATTTGGTTGGTCATTGACTTTTTTCTGGATGTCCTGACTTGTTGGTCTCCTGGGTTTGCCATTCCTGTGACCTGAGACCTGGATCGGGTCCTTCAATGATACCTTTTAATTTCCCAGCTTTGTATCTGAGTTCTCATATTTGACTTTCTGCATGGCGATGCTTCTATTTTTATTTGCTAACTCAGGGTAGACAATAATTTTTAAACTTAAGCTTCATTAAGGTGGGTTTGTGGTATAGAACTGGATCTGTGAGATTCAGCCTGATTTTGTTCAGACACAAGCAGAGCTGGAGAGTCAGTGAGGCCAATGCAGGGAAGGAATGGATTCTTGGACTCACAGAACCCAATTCCTTAACTCTGGCTGGTTGACTCAACATCCACCCTCCAAGGCAGTCTGGTGGCATTGATTTGGTGCTGCTGCCATTTTAATCTGAAATTTTAAACACTCAATAATTGTGGTTTTATTGATCCACCTTTAGAGATCCTGCACTTTTGATTAACTGATGACTAGTTCAGCTTGGTTCTTTCCTGAGCATAAAGGCTGCTCAGAATCTGCTTGGTCTTGGCTATCTCCTGGGCTGGCATTTCCGTGCTGGCCTGGGGCACTGTCCTGCATGCTGTGGAAATCACACCTTTGCTGTGGTTCTCATACCTTACAGAGGAATTAATTGGCTGGCCCAGTTGCCTTCAGATCACTCTGGGAAGTCAGTTGCATGTTTTCCCCTTTAGATTTGGCCTAGAAAGCACCACTTGGGAATGGACATTCTTCATTTTGAAGCTTTTAAAATGAAGCTTTTAAATTTGCCTTAAAGTGTTACTGTTGGCCAGTGTTGCCAAGGCCACAGCAAAACTACAGCACAAGAAAGTTGGAGACAAGCAGTGAGATTGTAACCTGAAGCAATCCCAAGGCTGTGTTTGTATTCTCCTTGTCACGATGATACTGTCACTACTTTAAAGCCATGTCACACAGAGCCGGCAAGGGCTCCACATGTGTAGACACTGGCAGATCTGAGACATCATTATGTGTGTAGACACTGGCACATCTGAGGCATCGTCACATGTAGACACTGGCACATCTGAAACATTATCACTCATATAGGCACTATTGTATCTGAGGCATCCTCATGCATGTAAACACTGGTGCATCTGGGACATCATTCCTTAATGCTGTGGTGACAGGTCATGGGGTATCATTCTCCAGTGCTCTGGCACCAGGTTGTAGGAGCAGTAACCAAGACTGTGTCATTCTGCCTGGTGAGTCAAGGCCAGAGCATTGTGCCAGCAGCTATTCATATGCACCCATGTTATTCATACATGACTTGCTGCTTGAGTAAGGAACTCTGGGCACTACAAATGACCTGACACTTCTATGTTTTCTCATCTGTGTCTGTCTACCAAGGTGGTTTAGTTGTAGACATCAGGACAACCAAAGACACTGACTTGGCTGATTGTGGGCTTTTGGGTCTCATGGGCTAAAAATAATCTTTCCAGTGTTCCATCTGCTGGAAACATGCCCAGGCAACATCCTGGCAGTTAGAAGATCCATGGTCTGTAAGAGACTCCAGATGTCTCTTTCCCAAGGCTCTGCCCCTTCCAGCCTGAACACAATGCCTGAAGGACCTGGACTGTGACCACTAGGAAGAGAGAGGAAAGGGGTGGATTTCAGAGGGCCCTGTGACCACCTGCGTGTATACAGTATCAGATGTTAGCCAGGGTGGCATCTAACACCTTTTCCAGGCCCTTTGTGGGATAATGTAACACACCAGGAAAAGAAATGATGGGGGAGAGTGGGGCAATGAGGTGAGCACTGGCCAGGAGGAGCTTGGCGGGACATTGGAGGAGCATGACCATGGTGGGAGGGGCCGGTGGGGTAGGAGAGGCTGCTCTTCCTGTCCTTGACGGAGAGAGAGAGAGAATGCATGTCCAGGGATCCTAGAGAAGGAAGTTCTGGTACAGTTGTGGGGAGTGAGGTTACTGGAGTGGAGGCTGGGGAGATTTTGGGAGAATGGGGGTGCTGGGAATGGTGACCTGGGCAGCATGCTATCCAGTGCTGCAACCCTGCACACCCTGTGAGTGTGACATATGCATCACTGTGTGATGTCCCACTGTCTTCTACCTGTGGTCAGTTTTCTGCACAACCCCTCGGTTTCCTTCTCACCCCTCAGTGTGTGGTGTGGGTATAGCTGGGCTCTCCTCCAGGGGAGGGCGGAGGGAGAGTGGAGCTGACGATCCACAGGGCCATGTCACACA